TTCTTAGAAGCTGATAAAACAGCCAAAACATTGCCAATTGTTACACCAAAACATCCTGACATTATGTATACAAGCAAGTGGTAACCATTCAACATTTGTTCCTTACGAATATTTTGTAATGAAACCGACTGAAATTATTTATTCACACGCAACTACAAATAAGTCTTTAACTACCAAAATTTTCCGATTTTGTCAAGATGATCTTAAGAGGTTACATGATTATTATTCTGCTGGTATTCCTAATGGGTGTTGGATTTCAACAAATGATGCACTTGTAGCTCACTTTTGGAGGACAATCACTAGGGCTCGAAATATTGATTTAAACACTGAAGCAATTTGTAGCATTACTTTTAATGGACGTGATAGATTAAATCCACCTATTCCAAAAGGTTATTATGGAAATGTTGTTTTGTAAATATATTATTATTATTATTATTATTATTATTATTATTATTATTATTATTATTATTATTTGTTTTACACTTAAATAACTTTGACATTATTTAATTTGATTTTATATTTAGCCATGTATGTCCAAAAATGCTTGTATCTCAATTGATTAACGGTTCACCATCTTCAGTAGCACTTCAAGTTCGAAAAACCGTTACCGATATGAATGATAGTCGTATGCGATCTATAATTAATTGGGTTGAACAACAACCAGATAAATCATTGATTTCTGCAAGTGTTTTGTTCAATGGCGAAGATTTTGGACTGACTAATGTGTCAAAATTTCAAAAGCATAATTTAATAGATTTTGGCGATGGAAATCCTATAAAACAAAGACGTAGTCGAGAATATACATTTGATGGGCTTTATATAGCGCAGAGTACTGAGACCGATGATGGAATAGATGTTTTCTTTAGTTTACAAACTGAAAAATTGGAAATCATGGAGAAGGATCCTGAATTTAAGAAATTTATTGTTTTATAACATAGTTTAAAATAACCACCTCAGATTTTCTGCTCTTAAATCAATCTGTATAATTTTTTTATTAAAAACTACAGATTAAGCATGCATTAAAATATAAAAAATCAAACAAATATTCTAGAGTTATTAGACAAATTCTAAAGTTTTATCATTGATAAAGGCAAAACTAGACCTTTCTAAGTGCAAATGTATTTCAGGTTCCAAGGCGTACATTGAGAAATTTGATGTATAACCTTTTGTATCATTTTTTCTTTGTGCGTATCTATACGTATAATTTGAAGATCTGATGCAATACATTGTAGTAGATTTGATTTATCTCTCCAATCCATTTGTACTATAGTTTGTAGATTATTACGCAAACTACCTTTTCAAGCATATTTTATGATAAGAATATAGTCTTTAGAACCTTTGTCTTTTGATATACTATAGCATTTTATAAAGCTTGCATCCCTAAGACCGATATCACAATATGCTTTTAACTATTATTTAATATTTAAGTCATTAATATAATTAATAAGTAACTAATTTGCTTTTATAAATTCTTCTTGATAATGATATGAATTATGAAGTAATTTAATTGCAACAGGTAATTGTATATTTTGGTCTTTATCGTGCCACCGAGCCCGATATACGGTTGCAAATCCACATTTACCTATTTCTTTGTTAAGTTTAAATATATCATAAGAAATCCAAGATAACTGATACTCATTTTCGATCAATAGTTTTTCAAACCATCAGCAATTTCATCCATTTGTTTGTAACTGTTTGTTTATAAAGTTTAATCAATTTTAAATTACAACTATCATATTATAATTATATAATTATATTGGTAATTTCATTAAGCGTGATACACCATCCTGATACACGTTAAATTAAATATAATAACTCAAATTTTTACATGTTAATAAGCAATCAAAAAAATATATATAATATTTGAGTATTTATATAACTTATTTGTAAAATAATTTTCTATAATTTTTTGATTCAATATTTTTTTAAAAAATTCAAATTTATTCAATTTTTTCAAAAAGGTGTACCTGTAGATAAAGTATGGTGCCATAATTATTATGTAATGTCGAAATTGTATTATTACATATTTTTATTAATGATTTTATTATATTATTATAATTTTTACATGACATAACTAATTACGGCACCATACTTTACCTGTAGAGTACATTAATTTTTTTGTACCCATTATTTTGATTACAGTAATATTGATATTGTTTATGTTAGGTTAGGGTTAGGGTGAGAACTATGTTAGAATTTGGGTTTAGACAGTTATATAGTAAAATCGCTCAAGAAAAACTTTTTATTAATGTACAGGATATAGTTTGATATGCAATTTCTTGCGAAATAAGCAATTTTTGTCAAAACAGATATTTGTTTTGTATTACACCTGATATATAGGTCACATAATGCAGGTATATGTACCTTTGGGTACATGTATATAATCTCTTTTAAAAAAATTAATAAAATAAGGTAGCTGCGCGACGTTGTCACGCAAAACCAGGAACGGATAGTTATATTGTAATTTACAATTTATTTACTAATGTTTGTCAAATAAAGAATCTAATTTGTTAAATTTAAAA